TCTCTTATGTTAACTTATGTTAACTTTTTAGCTAACTTACTTAACCTCCTAGTAACATCTATATCTTAACTTAAGCCCAACGCACAATCTTAGTAAATAAATAAGTAAGTAGGAGAAGGAGGTAACCAAATGAACAAATATGTAACAAAGTGAAGTGAGTCAGTACGCAAGTAAGTAAATATATATATATATATATATATGTATATGTAAGTAAGGCAGGAAGCAAGCAAGTAAGTAGATAATTGAGTAAGGAAGAGAGAGAGAGAGAGAGAGAGAGAGAGAGACAGCGAGAGAGGGACCAACAAAAAGCTGGTCTCTCTCTGTGTCTCTCTCTCTCTCTATATATATATATATACATAAGTGTGCAGACACTGTATAAGTGTATACACATCACAACTCTTTTTCAGCCAAACAGACTAATGAAAAAATCACGCGTTCATTTGGAGCCTATACACAGGCATGTGACCCTCGGGGTGTGCTTCCATGTGGGTACGTATCCGCACCGGCTGTCCTCCCGTGTCGCAGACGGAATGCGTAGAGACTCAGAAGTCACAAGTCTTGAACACCATGGCCATGTGCAAGTCTTGTCAGGATGGCTTGCGTGCCGCACAGATGTGTCATGGCTGATCTAGGCATAGCAGAGCATGGCTTTGCAGCAGCGTGGTGAAGCAGGCATTTGGTGCAGCAGGCAAATCAGTGTGAACATCAGCATCACTGAGAACACAGATCAAGCTTCAACTGTCCGTGATGATGTCACTCCGGCTTCCACCCGAGGACGGCGAAGCCTACTATCACAAGCCCAGCACAGGCTGAATGCATGGATTCGGGGCACACGGGCGTCGCGTGCTGTGCCGTTCTGTAATGCCATCCGTTGTAGCGTTGTGCAGCATTGTCTTCTTGGGGTTGATATAGACTCGTGCGAGGGCGTGTATCTTTTCGTGTGAGCATTTATGTATGCGTGTGCGTTTGTTTTTCAAAAACAAGCGCACTTTTGCAGGAGCTTTTGCGTGGAAGTCAGGTATCCAGCCATCAGAGGTGTGCGACGTTGATGTTCTGTGCGAGTGCCAGTCGACAGTATGTCTATCTCTCTTTCTACATATATATATATAAATATATTATATATATATATAATGTATATATCTACATATGTATATCTATATGTGTGTATATATATATATACGCATACGCGGGTGTACATGCATCTGCAAGGGTAATTATTCGTATATGAGGTACCTGTGCATGTTTATGTCCATGCATATAATTTCTGACAGCTGCAAGCATGCAGATGTAATCGGCTGCATGAAGGCCCTGTCGTAACACACCATCGGTGCTTCCTCTTTCCTGTAAGACGGGAATCGATACAGGGGCTTTCCACACTCTGGGGAGTCTCTCCTCACATCGTGTGCCAGTGAAGTGTGCAACTGACAGGTGTATCACAATGGCAACATCCTGGTCGTGACGCGCGGCCGTGCAAGTCCTGGTTTGGCCCTCCCCCATTCAGCCAGGCAGAAGCCATCTGAGCTTTGAGTTCCTCAAGGGTGACCAGGGCATGCCGGTTTCTCTTGGGTTCGTTTTCGGTTCCCACTCAGGCTGTAAGACTATGCATGGCTCACCTCCAGTCAAGCATAGCTTTCTTGTTCACATCCATGTGACGACACAGACGCCGATCTTAGGAATGGATACGTTCAGACATGAGCCAGCTGGCGGCCTCACTCATGCCGCGTCGCGGCAAAGGTGCCGAGATGATAATGGTCATGACGATGACGGTGGTTGGTGGTGGTGCTTGCGGTGGTAGTGGTGGAAGTGTGGTCTGCCTGCATGGCTGTTGCTGGATTGTCGTGTTTCTCCTCGGAGTGCAATCGGGCATTGCTCATGGCACTGCGAGCCATGCATATGCCACGAAAAGGTGGCACAGAGCAAATCTTGGAATGCACAGCCATTTCTTTAGCGGTGCGATTCGAACAAGTTCCCCAAACGAAACGAATCAAAGTCCTTCCTAACCCAGAACATGCTGCCTTCTTGGGTCTCGACGCGAGATTTAGACGAGCTCGTTTATTTGTCGGAGTTTATGACAAAGCTTCAGCACAAGGTCTGGGCTGCGTTTTTTCATGATCTGGAAATAGCACACCCCCATGTGGGAGTTTCAGAAAACAAGGCTTGCCGTTCCCTTATATTAAGGATTCTACAGCTTACAGGGTTCCATGATGCCCGGTTTTATTTTATAGTTCCTTAGTTTCTGAAACTGCCTTTCTCCTTTCTTGCGGTCTGGGCGGACAGGGGAGACTGGAGCTCGAGAAGTTCGAGACGAATGCGAGTCGCAAGAGACCTCGGCTTCTCATTCAGTGTACGATGCACGCAGCCGCCACGTTCCCAGATCGGAAGAATAAGTATCAAGTTGAATTTTCGATGTTATTTTCTGCTTATGGTCTTTAGAAGATCGGGTTTTGAAGGAGTGTCACGGATGCTGATGCAGGTGGAGCTAGACACCCCTGACACTCTGTTCACGGCTGTGCCGAGCATCGTGCGCGAAGATGTCGTGCCACGGACAGCACATTCGCATGTCAGTTTGGCTTCAGGATGTCGCGTGAGCAGATCCATGGTATTTCTGCGTTCTGAGATCCCGGAAGCTGAAGACATACCAAGATCCCTTTCCTCGAGCAGGCTCAGGTTCAGGGGAGGAAACACTAAACCCCAAACCGGCAGGAGTTTGTAGCACTCCAAAGCTCATTCCCTGTGATGGGCCCGTTGATAGGCCCCTGCCAGTTGAACAGAAGCTGTCGAAGCTTCGCAGAAGGGCAACTAGGAGATGTTGACAGCGAGATGCTGCTCTAGCCAGCAGCGCACCACGACAGCCAAAGATCAGAGCCTGCAGTTGTACCCAATACCATTGCTCCATGCATCATCCTTTCAGGAGTGTCCCAGCTTCTGGCAAGGTGGTGGGAATGTATAATGAAGCCCATCGTTCCCTGAACCGCATTTTTCTGGTATTGACAGCCTCAGTTTTTTCGGGGCCCTCATAAGAGCCCTTCTATCCTGACCGGCAAGGTTGGTCGTGCCTTTGCGCTCCGGAACATCCTCACGCCGGCGGAAGCTGCAACCTACGTGGCCTCAGCCCAGACACCAGCCTAAGACACATGGGTGGTTGTCAAAATTATGGTCCCTTATTGGGTCCTTATTATAATACGGCACCTATTATTTAGGGTACCCCAAAAGGGACCATAATTTTGACAACTACCCACATGAAGGGTGAGGTTCTGGTCGCAACGAGTTGTAGACATGCTGAGAGGTTAACGGTGAACAGAGACGAGGAGTAGTCATCTAAACGTCGTCCAGCGCTTGTCCTGGTCCATGAGAACGACAAGCATCGAAGCAAGGGCTCGGGGTTGGGGCTTCAGGGTTTGGCACAGCAGACCAACGACACTGTCACGAATAACAACTATGCCCTGAACCACACCCCAGATCCTATCGCCGTCGTCGTACAGCACGAACATGAATTATCATTAGTAGTAAACACAATGATGATACTGAAGCCGGCGCCTGCCAAGCATTTGCATTAAGAAGGATCGCTGCATGGATCTCGTTCTGCATATACTCGTCCATGAGACTGTAGCATTGAACTGCAGATGACTTCGAGAATCTTTAGTGTTGGAAGGTCGTTGTGAGCTTGGACCTTCTCTTGATGTAGGTGGTTTTTCGACTACTTTATACGTCGCTCTCGAATTGAAACTCTTGCGCCTACACCGATTAGTTCTGTTTACTACTAGTAGCTTGTGCAGATGCCGAGGGGAGTGTCATCAACATCGCATTGTTATCTAAAGCCACATGCAAATCGATCTGTCATGCAGCTTTCACATACCGTACATTTTTTGGCCTGACACTTTTTAACCCAAACTCACAACTACTTCAAGCCGCTGCACGAGGAGAAACGGTTTTGGCCACAGCGATGTGTCACGGGAGTTCCCTGCATCGCTGCGGAACAATTCGCGTCTGATCCACTTCAGCGACGCGCTTGCTCTAGCCTTGCGCCTTGGGTGGCAGGCTAACGTAGTGCTAAGCCGGGCTGCGAAAGAACAAAATAGTGTTGCATCTGATTGTCAGTAGCGAAAAGGCCTCTGCACGTGGTTTCCCTTTTGGCCAAATGCGACAAGCTCTAACTCTAGCAAGTCCTTATCATGCTAACGACGCTGTCGACTGAGCTTGGGACCGGAAGCACCCCGGTGAAAACTCTAATACTGCAGGGTAAAGACAACAAATACTATGCAGTCTGTCGACAGGGCTGTCGAGTTATGTCGGCAAGGTGAATCTAAACCCTTAACCAACCCTGTAAGCTTCTGCAGGAGCCAAGCTCATGCGCTTGATTCATGAGCCTGGAGGCCTTAGCCTATGGACAGCAGTGGGTTGTCTTTTAGCTTCATCCTTCCGAGGTTTCCAGAGCCACAACATCCAATGCCCAGAAATAATTTGGGGCGCAAAAACTTCACTCAAAGATTGCAGAACTTCGCAACATGTACTGCTTTCGACGTGAGGACCACTTCCAGTGAGCATGGAGCCGGCCTCAACGAAACACTAGAGGATAAACACCGGAATTGACTCCAGCGTTTTCTTTGCATGCAACTCAGCTGACTGGAGGTACAGACGGCTAGCACCCTACCTTGCGCATCGCGACGTGCCTGGGAGAACAGTACCGGTGCATGCTGAATGGCCAGCTTTTCAGCTAGATCTGTCAGGATCCTGAATTCGGGATGCACCCCCCAACGGAACAAGTTCAGGTTGAGGACCCAAACTTACCTGAAGCTTCAGGGTATGGGGACCGCAATATCCTGCCGAAAGCCCAAAGACCCTGTGCTAGCCGTGAGCCGTAAAACACCTGGGGACACCATCTTGCTACTGGGAAGATCACACATCCTGCAGTACGCAGTGGTCCTCAGCCTCAGGCAGGTAGAATTCGAAAGCCACAGAAACGCTAAACCCTCAGTTGCCCCAACCCTCGTCCATGACGTGAATGTTGTAAGTTGCAACGCAAAGCCACTGCCTTCAACAAGTTTTCATTACCCGATATTACCCGAAACCTCCTAAACCTCAAGCAAAAAAGACCCTCTTGAGGTGTATCTCGTGCAGCCGATGGGCTTTGGGGCCGAGGGTAGATGGCCTCGTGGCTCCTTCAGAATCCTTCATATATATATATATATATATATATATATTTATTTATTTATTTATATTTAATTATATATACATATATATATATAAGAGTAAGGATGCGCTTTCGGGGTCTTTTGTAGGGCTCCCCAATCCATGTGGCATAGGTTTTGGGGTCAAAGCTGTTATGCTAGAGAGATTAAGTTTGAGGGCGCGGAGGCTGTGAGAGAGGCTGCATTGCAAGGTAAAACATGCAGCGTGTTCAGGAAGGCGAACGTTTCCTGAAGCCCCGAAACGCCTTTCATTTGCACCAGGACTTTGTCGATGTCAGGCTTTGCATCGGAGGTGTATTCGTTGCTGTGTCGCTCTATGCAAGCCTTTTCTACTCAAGACATCCAGCGATTCCAGAATCCGAATCTTCCCTTCTATGTCACTCCTTCAACAGTCGAACCGCAGTACGAGTGGCAATCGTCGCCGTCAGCCCCGAGCCCCAAACCTGTCCGTGACCGCTGCAGGAAGCCCGTTGCCATCAACCCGTGCTTTCGCATCTCGCAGTACAAGGATTTCCTGGGTTTCAGTGATTTACTTATATACGACATGAGGTTTTCATCTCAGAACTCCTCAATGCTGGAACAGAACTTGTCTTCGCGTTTGGTAAAGCAGGTCTCGGACACATGTTGGCAGACATACTAGGAGCTTTCAGTCCAGGTTTACGGTGAAGGGTTTCAGTTGTCCACGATACCGAGGTGAGGCGGGCATGAGGGCATGTGCACTGCTCTGCGCAAGTCAGGATATCTGGAAAACTGTCACAGTAGCTTTCCCGAAGTGGCCCTGTCGAGACATGTTGGGAACCTTACAAAGCTGCCCCATCAATTGGAAGCTAGCGCCCTGCTCGGGCCGCGGGCAGCCTAGCTCTTCTGGCAAAAGAGATCGCTGGGCCGTGAACGATGTTGGCCAATGGCAAACACAAAGACACAGCTGCGTCGCCTGCTTTCCAGGAGGGAGAGCACTTTGCAACTCACTGCGACGGGATGTATGCTAACGACAACGACGAGTGCAGTATCTACTCCGTCGTCCTGTACTTGAACGAGGCCAGGCACACCATGCCACCACCCTTTCAGTTGGTCACTTGAGGTATTGTGCTGAGTTGATGCAGCGACGTCTCTGCCATACCCGCCAAGCTCGTAGATTCCGACTTCCGAGCTGAATCTGTCATAGTTGCTATATGTAAGTATTGGAACCCTTCGCATGCAATGTCAAAGCATGTGGGACCGCATACAGGAATATTGTTTAATTCGGACAGTGTGAAGCACAAGGGATAGTTGCAAAGAAGGGTTTGCTCGGGCCTTCGGATTTGGTTGAGTGGCTGCCTTCAATTTGGTTTCTTCTCTACGGCGTCATATACAAAAGCAGAAGGTCTCGCACCCACCGGCCCATGTTAGCAACTGCACCCTGAACAAGGACTACGAGGGTGGCGAGCTTGAATTCACCGACTCCGGCAAACGCTTCCGGCCGACAGCCGGCACTGCAGCACTGAAGCCGCAAAGAGAGATAAGTGTCTCAGGATGTCTCAGAAGAGAGGTGTGCCTTATTTATGTAGCATAGCGTTTGATTTGCATTCGCAACATCAAAGCTTCTGCGCTGCTCGCTCTGCTTGCTTTACCGCATCTCCTTTCCACTGTGTATCCTGCTGCTACATGGGATGCAACATGGTGCTTGGATATATATGTTGTGCTGTCCTTCCTGTTTGCTGTTCGTCACGTTCTATTCTATGATTTGCCGGTCGGATTGCTGATGTGGTGCAAGGGCGGTGTGGGACAGAATAATTTGGGTTCAAGAGGGCGCTGGGGTCCGAGATGCGCTGGACCTATTACCGATCCTGATCCGATGTTAAGCGCAGCACCTTGCTTGGCAACTGTGCGTTGGTCTCTGTCTTTCGCAGCAGATGTATACATGTAAATGGAGGTACACATACATAAATATAGATATGTGTAATATATGTATATATATATATAGACACATGACTATATATATATATATATATATATGTATAGCACTGGGAGGAGAGCATCGGAGCTCAGGTGCTGCTTCCACACGACCTTCCGCATGCTGGACTTGAGGCCGCATCTCCCCAAGCCGGGAAAGTTACATACCCCGTCTTATAGTCTATTGTAGTATAATCTGTTGTAGTATATTGTAGTATAGAATACATTCTAGTTTTGAAGTAGAATATAGCCTGGTGGTGTAAACAAGAGCTTCGGGTTTGAATGACTGGCTGTCGCAGCACCGCTGCTAAGCCATGGTCCAGCTGCGGGACACTTAAACTGTAGATCAGGAGGCCTTAAAGAGATCTTAAAGAGCCATTGGTCGTGTCTCGAGAGACATCGCTCAAACTGTTTCGTGCCTGGGGAGGCACCACTGCAATGCTACCAGGACACATGCGTATATATCCAAACAGCTGGTGATTCACTGGCTTGCTCTTGGCATCTTCTTTTG